TACTGTGGGGTCTTAGCTCCACCCCTGCCCATGAGGATAAGGTTTGCATATCATATGCCTCTACTTCCATTCTTAAACATTGTAATAACTTAATAACAGGTTGTAAGATATGTCTAACTATTTATAAAACTTCATAACAGAAATGCAGTTATTACATATAGAGTCCATATGAATAGTGATGGAGTATCACACAATTATTGTAAAATTGTACAAGTAGTTAAGCATATTTTACAGTTTGTTGAAATAGCATTGCACCATTCATGACAGTTGTTATGACAACCTTTCTTATCCCTTACCCCAAAATAATTTACCTTCAGAAGTTTAATGGGCAAACTGATATAAAATAAATAAGTAAAGTTCAATGGATATGTGACCCACTCGAGAAAGAAAAAAGGTAAATTAGAAACAAGAGAATAGTTGAAAAACCTATTAAGGTAATAGTCAAAAAATTTTTCCAAAAACGTGACTATCCAAATCCAAACGCAGTGCGGTTCTTTTCCCTTGCTTTATAAAAACTGAAAAGGCTCTGGGAGTATCGATTTTCAGTAGAGAAAAGAATCCTTGTCATCTACATCAAGTTTATAAATCCTGCCACCTCAAATCTTCCCGTCCTTTCTCTCCTTCATGGCAAAAGGAGTCAAGGCTTCCGGAGGAGGAAGGCGCCCAGATGATGTATATGGAGACAGACTGAGCAGATTACTAGATTCTATCATAAGTCACATTCTCTCTTTTCTTCCCACAAAATTTGCAGTCGCCACCTCAATTCTGTCCACCAGGTGGAGGTATATCTAACACGATTTTAACAGCTTTGATTTTGACGATCCGACGCCTTTCAAAGCAAATTAAAATGGATTTATTAACAATGATAATTTCATGGATTTTGTCAACACAATTTTACTGCAATCCAGAGCGAATTCAGTGAGTAAATTTCGGATTAGTTCTTTAACCCCGATCAAATGCTTAATTCCTGGATGATTGCCATGCTTTCTCGGGATGTTAAAGTTCTTGACATAAGGTACCAGCAGTTCGGCGGTAGTCAAATTTTGCCCAATCAAATATTCATAAAAAACTTTTGTGGTCTTGAAATTATCTGGACAAAGAATCAAACTACGTGAGCTGAATTTCTAGCCAAATCTCAAGGTCTTGCATCTGGATAACATGAACGTATTGGCTGGCAATGATAAAGGTTGGGAAATCTCTGAAAATGGCTACCCATTGCTTGAGGATTTACAGATTACTACAACGTTTATTGATCAGCTTGTATACTTTAGAATTAGACTTACTGCACTGATAAAATTGACATTGACTAATATCAAAGCCACAGGTCTGGCCGACGTTGTTGGATTTGACGCCCCAAATCTTCGTTATCTTGAGTGTGACTTTCATCGGGTCGGCGGAGGAAGTTTCGTTTATTCTGATCTAGCAGCAGTGAATCTGATCTAGAGTTTGTACGACGTATATTACAGCAGAGTTCTATGCTAAAGTTGGTGTCTCTGACTGCTGCGCCAGATGGAATAGCAAAAGGATGGCCTTATTCGGTCACCAAAAAGTTGATCAATTTCTCAAGGTGCACCAGAAAATGTGAGCTTGAGCTTAATTGAAGGAAAAGTTTTGTGCCATAAACTTCTGTAGAAATATTAAGCCAAGCATCATTATATTTGTTAATTTTGTTTAATTGATTGACTATATAGGTGCATGATTGTGTTTCGTAGTGTGAAGCGGATGATTAATTCCTATGTTAGTATTAGCAGTAGTTGGAGTCTGAAGTAGTTTGTCTCGTGTCTCTTGGATATAAAAGTCAGTAGCCTCCGGTGGTTCTTTTTTTTTTTTGTTTGAACATTGTAAGAATTGTAGCTGCAGCCTTGTTTGATTAATTGAAGAAAATTTGCTTTGCCTCATATATCAAATTCTCGTTATTGTTCCTGTAGGTTTATATTTGAGTACAATTTTGGGTCCAACAACTTCTACAGATGCTCAAAAGTTGGAAACTTGAGCAAAGCAGATTCAGTTCTTTACTCTAGGATTAATTTGATGTGGGAATAGTTTCTCTTTTTCTTATTTTTTCCCAATAAATTTGTATCTTTGAATTCTTGAAGATGTCACTAGAAATTAAGTACCTTTTTCTGTTGATTAGTTATCAGTTTTTCACGTTAGATGATTGTTACATATTATGCAGTGTCAGCTGAGTTGGTCTACTCAGATTTGCTATGCAATATCACTGTGTCATCTGTTGATTACCAGAAAATCTCCAAATCATAATCTGTCTAATCTAATTTCTTCTTAATTTATTGCCGAAGTGCTGCAGTTGATTTTGTACCATTATTGCTGCCACCTGATATTGGGGGTGTGGCATAAGGTACATATCAAAAAGCAAAAAAGATTTTGTGCCATTGCTTGTAGACAATGAGATTTTTAGCTTCATTGAAGAGACTAAAGAATTCTAGTTGTTTCCATGATTGGAATTCTAGGATGTAAGGTATTAGAGCTAAGTATTCCATAATAAACTTCTTGTAGGCTCTCTTGTTACTTTTTTACCATTCAGTGATTTTGTGAAGATATCCTGCTAACCAATGTTTTAGTTGTACTCGATCTAAACAAATCTATACAAAAAAAAAAAAACACACATTATTAACTTATTTTGTGAAGATATTGATAAGTGAATATTTTGTCTATATTTTTGTACAGTTTTGCACGAGCTTTTGTCATGTTTTTAAAGGATTATAGTTGTACTTGAGCTCTTTTTGGTGCAAATTACTTCAAGTGTTGTTTAGTGATCGAAACGTGCAAAATGAGTAGATTAATGCATAAACATATGATATTTTGTAGGTTATCAGATCATGAAACACTTACATATTATCAAGAAGAGGTAAGATGCTAGTTGGAGGACAATGGATAAATGAAACAAGGAGTAAAGATTGAGCGAAAGAGAGAAGAGTTTGAAGATGGAAACACGGGAGATGGATCCGAGCTCGGATCCTCTCTCATCCCATATGATCCGAGCCCTCGGTTAAACTTCTGGAGAAGTAAATCCGAGGGCCAGAAGATCCGAGCTCGGATCCTATTTTTACCCCTCGGATCTGGGCCTCAGATCTTTCTCTCTCCTCTGCAACTTGCAGAATAACTTGTGTTCATTTCACACTTACTTTTTGACTCATGTTTCACACAAAATTTCGGCTGGAAGCTGGCAAACCTTTTGTACACTTGAAGAAGCAAGATGTGATGATTTCAAGGAAGGGCAAATTTGGAAGAAAAAGGAAGAAAAAATGACATTATTAGAGAGAAGAAGAATATAGTAGAAGTAGTATATATATATCAGATTTTAACACTAGAACAAAAAAAGAAGGGAGTCTTGTCTTGTTCTCTCTAGCTAGTAACTTTTGTGGAGAACAATTGGAGACTTCATTGTACCCATTTTGTTGAAGAAATTGAAGATCATTGGGAGCTCCTTCATTAACCTTGGCTAAGCTTTCTCTAATCTATCTTTTACTTGTGATTCAAGATGTGTTCATGCAATGAAGCTTTGTGTTTTCTTGTGATATCTTACATGAGTAGCTAAATTTCTAGATCTAGGGAGTATATGAAGCTTATGGCTACTTAATATGAAGTGGATATGATTTACACTTGTTACATCTTGTATTAACTTGTCTACTTGTGCATGCTTAGCCCTTGTTGTTGCTTGATCACTAATAACAAACTCTTAGTTGTTATTATTCAATGAAAATTGGTAATAATGATGGAACAACATGAGTAGAGCTTAAGTAGTAGACTCATGAGAATAGATGTACACTTAAGTGGATTAACCTTGCATTTCATAAAGGAAACAAGAGTAGAACTATTTATTCACCATGAGAATAGGGAAAACTAGACTTTTCTAGGCCATTTCATCATGAGAATGAGATTTGGTAATAGTGGAAATGAATCTCTAGTTAAACAAGGGTTGTAACAAGAGGTAAATCTATTCATTTGTGTTGTTTATGCCATAAGTGATCTACATCCCTAGACTCAAGTGTTTAGTGAATTTTCTCCATTTGTTATCTTGCAATTGTTTAGTTAAGACTTGTAGGAAGTAGTAGTTATAGATTCTCTTGTATTAATTATTAGTTAATCTAAATAATAGAGTAAGTTAAGGACCTAGTACTTGTTTAAGTTGCTCCTCGTGGGATCGACCCGATACATGCACTAAACTACTAATTTGACCTGTATACTTGCAGTCAAACGGGTATTAATCGGAATTAAACTTGCACTTATATCAAAAACCCGTCAAGTTTTTGGCGCCGTTGCCGGGGAGCGGCAATATTAAGGCCTAACAAGTTCTATTAATTTAGACCTTCATATTCGATTAGTTGGTATTAGTGTAGTGTAGTGAAAATTCTTGTTAATATTTTGAATTGGATTTTTATTTATTTTTGTGATATAATTATTACATTGTCTCTATTCTTCAATTTTTATAGTGTATGCACCGAGCTTTACAAGTAGTAGTACCTTTTGATCCTGAAATTGAAAGGACACTACGTAGACAAAAAAGGCGTACACCACAACAAAAAGAAGAAGAGATTAGGCAACCAATAGAGGGAATTGCAATAGAGCTACCGTTTGAAGAAGAGATGGCAGAAAATGAAGCAAATAGGCGAGCTCTAAGGGATTTCGCTCTACCGGGAACTCAAGGATCCCAAACAAGTATAGCGCGGCCGACGGTAAACGCTAACAACTTTGAGATTAAGCCATCACTTATCCAAATGGTTCAACAATCTCAATTTGGAGGTAATGCCGTAGAGAATCCTAATGCACACTTAGCCACATTCTTGGAAATATGTGATACAATTAAAATGAATGGAATTAGTGATGATGCTATAAGGCTAAGGTTGTTTCCATTTTCATTGAGAGATAAAGCTAAAATTTGGCTACACTCTCATGCGCCTAACACTTTCACCACTTGGGATGATTTATCTAGGGCATTTTTGAATAAATATTTTCCACCGGGTAAAACGGCTAAGCTTAGAATGGATATCACTAGTTTTAGCCAATTGGATGGTGAATCGTTGTATGAAACTTGGGAACGGTTTAGAGAGTTGCTTCGGAGATGTCCACATCATGGACTTCCCGATTGGCTAATCGTACAAACTTTCTACAATGGTTTATCTTTCTCTACTAAAACTACCATCGATGCAGCCGCAGGTGGAGCTTTAATGGGTAAATCACCCCAAGAAGCTCAAAGTTTAATAGAAGAAATGGCCGCAAACAACTACCAATGGGCCAATGAGAGAGGTAATCCGAGACGCCACGCAGATATGATTGAAATGGACACTCTTAACATGTTGGGTGCCCAAATGAACAATGTGGTGAAGTTACTCAATAGGCAAGCCGGAGTTGGTTCAAGTTCATCTAATGCACATGTGGCGTGTTGTTCCGTATGTGGAGGTGAACATGATACTAATGATTGTGTTGATTTTGAGCAGGTACAATTTGTTAACAACTATAATCGAAATGCTCAAAATAATCCCTACTCAAACACTTACAATCCGGGGTGGAGAAATCATCCAAACTTTGTATGGAAAGATCAAAGCAATCAACATAGGCCAACCAATCCGCCGGGATTCCAACCTAGGCAACCACAAGCGGAAACTAAACTAGGTTGGGAGATCGCAGTGGAAAAGCTTGCCAAAGTTACTTCGGATAGGTTTGAGCGAGTAGAAGGAAGATTGGACCAACTTACTACAATGTATCGGAATGTTGAGGTCCAAATTGGCCAAATTGCTGGTTCTCTCAATAACAGAAATCAAGGAGAATTGCCTAGTAAGACGGAGGTGAATCCTAAGGAGCATGTCAAAGACCATTACTCTTCGTAGTGGTAAACAGTTAGAAGATCCTCCAGTGGTTGAAAGTGAGAAAAATGAGAGGGAAAAACAAGAAGAAAAGGAGAGGAACCAAGAGGCAAGTTTGGAGGAAGATAGTCGGGAGAAACCAAGAGAAGATCAACCATCATCTTCCACTACCATCCCAATACCTCCGGCGGTTCCATTTCCTCAAAGACTCAAGCCAAATAAGATTGATAAAGAATTTGAAAAGTTTGTTAAAATTTTCAAACAATTGCACATAAATATCCCTTTTGCCGATGCTATTTTGCAGATTCCTTCATATGCCAAGTTTCTCAAAGAGATCATGACGCGAAAGAGGAAATTGGAGGATTGCGAAACAATAGCATTAACAGAGGAGTGCAGTGCCATCATACAAAACAAACTACCACTAAAATTGAAGGATCCGAGAAGCTTTTCTATACCTTGCACTATTGGTAACATCGACTTTTCTAAAGCATTATATGACCTTGGTTCTAGTGTATCATTAATTCCTTTAACGGTAGCAAGACAATTAGGTTTGCATGAGCTTAAATGCACTAATCTTACCTTGCAACTAGCGGATAGGTCTATTAGATATCCATTGGGAGTATTGGAGAATGTATTGATTAAGGTTCAAAAATTTATCATTCCCGTGGATTTTGTGGTCTTAGATATGGAAGAAGATATATCTATGCCCATTATACTTGGTAGACCATTTCTAGCAACTGCAGGTACTATTATTGATGTCAAAAATGGCAAACTTAAATTTCAAATAGGTGAAGAAGAGGTAGAGTTCAATTAATGAAATGGAAAAATACCCTTCTTTTACCGATCATGCTTGTTCTATTGGCACAATTGATAAACTAACCCAAGAGTTGAGCCGAGTAAATTTTGACTTCGACCCTCTTGAGCTTTGTTTATTGAGTTTAGGCATGCAAGAGGGAGATTGTGAAGCAATTGAAGAAGTGGCCAAGTATTTGGATTTTCAAGCACCCTATAATAGGGGTAATGCCTATGAAAGTCTTGGCCAAGGAAAAGGACTACCACCACCTTCGGAGATTGAACCTCCAAAATTAGAGCTCAAGCCACTTCCAACTCATCTAAGGTACGAGTTTCTTGGAGAAAACAATACTTTACCGGTCATTGTTAGTGCTTACCTAGATGAAAAGCAATGTGCAAAGTAGCTAAGAGTTCTAAGAAGGCATAAAAAAGTAATTGGATGGACAATTTCGGATATTAAGGGTATAAGTCCTTCTATATGTATGCACCGCATTCTATTGGAGGACAATTACAAACCGGTGGTGGAAATGCAAAGAAGACTCAATCCAAATATGAAGGAGGTGGTAAGAAATGAGATTCTTAAATGGCTTGACGCAGGTATAATCTTTCCTATCTCTGATAGTGTTTGGATTAGTCCCGTTCATGTTGTACCAAAAAAGGGTGGAATCACTATAATAATGAGCAAAAGTGATGAGATGATTCCATCTCGGCTTGTGGTAGGGTGGAGAGTGTGTATTGATTATCGCAAGTTAAATGCGGTTACAAGAAAAGACCACTTTCCTTTACCCTTTCTTGATCAATTATTGGAGCGAATAGCTGGTTATGAATTTTATTGTTTTCTTGATGGTTTTTCAGGATATAACCAAATAGCTATAGCCCCGGAGGATCAAGAGAAGACCACTTTTACTTGTCCTTATGGCACCTTTGCCTTTAAAAGGATGCCATTTAGCCTGTGCAACGCCCCTGCTACCTTTCAACGTTGCATGATGGCCATATTTTCTGATTATATAGAGAAAATTATGGAGATATTTATGGATGATTTTTCGGTTTATGGCTCATCTTTTGACCATTGTCTTCATAATTTAGAATTGATTTTGCAGAGATGCGAGGAGACAAATCTTGTGCTAAATTGGCAGAAATGCCATTTTATGATGCAAGAAGGAATCGTTTTAGGGCACAAGATTTCCTCTAAGGGAATTGAGGTGGATAAGGCAAAAATTGAAGTCATAGAACGAATGCCTCCTCCAAACAATGTCAAGGGGATAAGAAGCTTTCTAGGACACGCAGGCTTTTATAGACGCTTTATTAAGAATTTTTCTAAAATAGCAAAGCCATTGTGTGAATTATTATGTAAAGATACCCCTTTTCAATTTAATGATAATTGTGTTGTTGCTTTTGAAAGGTTGAAGAATGAACTGATTTCAGCACCCATTATAACTTCACCGGTGTGGTCACTACCATTTGAATTGATGTGTGACGCAAGTGACTATGCGGTTGGAGCAGTTTTAGGGCAAAGGAAAGGAGGAAGGTTGCACGTCATTTACTATGCAAGCAAATTACTCAATGAGGCACAACTCAATTATGCAACCACTGAAAAGGAGCTATTGGCGGTGATATTTGCTTTAGATAAATTTAGATCCTATTTGGTAGGATCTAAAGTTATCATTTATACGGACCATTCGGCTCTCAAATATTTGCTACATAAGAAAGACGCGAAACCACGACTAATTGGGTGGATTCTTTTGTTGCAGGAATTTGATATGGAGATAAAGGACAAAAAGGGATCGGAGAACCTCGTGGCGGATCATCTATCACGATTGGAATATATCCCGATCAATGATCAAGTTCCCATTCAAGAGAATTTTCCGGATGAATTTGTCCTAGCCATTGTCAATTCTCCATGGTATGCAGATTTTGCCAATTATTTGGTAAGTGGAGTAATACCAAAGGGTTTTAATTATCATCAAAAGAAAAAATTCTTACATGATGTGAAAAGTTATTTTTGGGAGGAACCATTGCTTTATAGACATTGTGCTGATGGTATGGTGCGTAGATGTATTCCCGAAGATGAGGTACGTAATGTTTTATATCATTGTCATAACCTAAAAACGGGTGGTCATTTTAGCACTTCAAAGACCGTGGTAAAAGTATGGCAATCAGGGTTTTATTGGCCAACTATGTACCAAGATGCTAGGGAATATGTTAAAAGTTGTGATGCATGCCAAAGAACCGGAAATATCTCAAGAAAAAATGAAATGCCCCTTACTACTTTCTTAGAAGTTGAATTATTTGATGTATGGGGGATGGATTTTATGGGACCATTTCCTAGTTCTTTTAATAATAAGTACATCTTGGTGGCAGTGGACTATGTTTCTAAATGGGTGGAGCGACCAATGACTCTAAGGTTGTACTTCGATTCCTTAATAAGAATATTTTTAATAGGTTTGGTATTCCTAAGGCCATAGTAAGCGATGAAGGGAAGCACTTTTGTAATAAGCAAATTGACTCTCTATTGCTTAAGTATGGTTGTAGGCACAAGACATCACTACCATACCACCCGCAAGCAAATGGACAAGCTGAGTTAGCCAATCGAGAGATCAAACTCATATCGGAGAAAACAGTGAATAAATCAAGGAAGGATTGGGCGAGACGTCTTGATGATGCATTATGGGCGTATCGAACGGCATTTAAGACACTTTTGGGGATGTCGCCGTATCGATTAGTCTTTGGAAAAGCTTGTCATTTGCCTGTAGAGGTGGAACACAAAGCATATTGGGCAATTAAAGCAATTAACATAGATTTATGTCTTGCAGGTGGAAGGAGACTACTTGAACTGAGCGAACTTGAAGAACACCGGCTACATGCTTACGATAATGCAAGAATTTATAAGGAGAAAGTGAAATATTGGCATGATAAGCATCTCGTTCCCAAACAATTTGAGGTGGGACAAAAAGTGTTATTATACAACTCACGTCTTAGGTTGTTTCCCGGGAAACTCAAGTCAAGATGGTCGGGACCTTTTGAAGTCACTCAAGTGTTTCCTTATGGAGCCGTTGAAGTAGTTAATGCGAGAAATGAACGATTCAAGGTCAACGGTCAACGATTAAAACCCTACTTGGCAGGTGAAATCGTTCCTAAGGGACTCATATGTCCTTTGGGTGACTCTTCTTCAACTTAAAGATCCTACCCTTTTGAGTCGAGCCAACGACTATAAACAAAAGCGCTTGTTGGGAGGCAACCCAATATTAATACTATAGTTGTGTTATTGTTCATGTGTTTCTTGCATTTTGGTTTGATAAGGTTTTCTGATTATATGTATTTCATATGCTTGTAGGGGGCTACCGGAGTTTGAACGCTTATCTTGGAGGTGCATGGGGAGAACGAGAGTTGAAAAGGGAGTTTTAAGTGTGTTTACTGCTTTTTTAGCATTTGATCGTTCTTACTATTAGTTTAAAAGCAGTATTTTTATGATTTGAAAGTGAGAGTCGGTGTTAATCAGTATATATATGTTTATGTGCTCATTTGAAGTGTGTTTAAGGGTTAATAAGAGCATTTTTCATGTTAAAGTGCAATTATGACCCAACAACTTGACATCTCGATTTGTGATCTAGATGTTTTTGATTCAATTTTGAGAGGTGGAATAGTTGTTTAGAACATATTACACTTGCGTGTGAAGAAAAAAGCTGAAAACTTTTCATTTAAAAGTGTAATTCAGAAATTGTAGAAAAGGTTGTCAGAATTGGAAAAAATTGCAGTTTCTGCAATTGTTGCAGAAACGAGAGGATCCGAGCTCGGATCGTTTAAACCCGAGAGCTCAGATAAACTTCTGTACAACCTGATCCGAGCTTCAATCGATCCGAGGCCTGATCTATAAGATCCGAGCTCGGATCGGTTCGGGCATATAGCAGAACCGAAGCCTCGGCTCTGCAATTCTTCACTTTTTCTCCTTCGTCTTCATCGAAACCCTAGCCCGTCTCCTCCAATCTCCCATTTCATCCATTAATCTTCCAATCTTTCACCATTAAAACATCCCTAAGCCTCTTGGGGTCTTAAGCCCTCACCAATTTCGCATCAAAAACATCATTTTGGGGGCCTTTGATTGTCAAAACGGGGAAGAGGGCCGAACTGAACTTCGTCCATTTGGGGTCGAGTTTAGGCTTGTTTCTCTTTACATTTGGCATCCTTACCATCTTCTAGCATTGCTCTACACACTTGAGGTAACATTTCTTCACTTTCTTTGATATTTTGCAATTTCCAATTTTCAATTTTCATAGTTATTTATATATTTTGGGAAATGCACATATGTTGAAATTTCTTGTTGTATTTGTGCTACATTGTGCTAAGAAATGTCATTAAGCCTATTTTGATGTTTGGTAATGAGACATTTGTGGTTACTATGAAATTTTTTTTTATTTTTATTTTTCTCTCAATTAATAGGCTAATGCACACTGTAACTTTTTGCCTGTAATTTTTTGCTCTCGTTGAATACTTTGGACTTGTTTAAGAGAGTAAAAATTATTTTTATGCCAATTAAAGGATAACATATGACCTTTAGCACAAATTGGTATGAAAGTCTTGGAATGAATTGCTAAGAATGAGTATTGTCAGAATGGGTGAATCGTTGAAATTGAGGATGCTATTGTTGGAATTTCAACTCTCAAGTGATGGGGGCAGTGATTGGATTCTTATTCCTACCATGTGATGAGATTTAGCAAATATAAATGCATTATAATGGTAGGAATTGTGCTTGAGTAATTGCTATGTGGAATATTCTCTTGAATTTGATATTTCTTGGCAGGGAGTTTAGCCCTTTTTCAAGGGTAAACTCTGCCGAAATTTTTTCAAATGAGTTTTCACAATTTGTTTCATTCATGTTCTCGAAGTGCCAAAGGTGTTGTTTGTTTAACATGTGAACTAATTTTTCACATTAATATAGGCACAATGGTTCGAACACGAAGAGCCATTATCCGAACGCCTACTCCTTCACCAAGCCCTGAAGCAACACCTTCAGTGGAGGAGGAATCTTCTTCCCCTGAGCAACAACCTCGATCACGACGCAAACAGGCGTCTACAAGTCGCGAGGAAGCCCCTCCAGAGTATGATATCACTCGATTCACATCCCTCGAAAATCAAGAGTGGTATGATGCTGGATTGCTTAAGGAGATTATCATCGAGAAACACTTGGCGCCTGAGGTGGACGCTCACTACAAGGTGTCGGCGGCATTTGCTCGACTTGGATGGGAGAACATTCTGCAGTTGCCTCGCCATTACTATCCAAATTTGGTGAGGGAGTTTTATGCAAATGTGGAGGATAAGCCTGGACATAGCGCTAATAAGATTGTTTCTTGGGTCCGTGGGAAGCGCATCGTCATAAACAGGGAAACAATCGGCAAGTTTATAAGGG